GAAGGGTTACATGTGGCATAAACTTAGGGCACGAAAATAGGGCTTCTAGAACCTGATATTTAGGTAATTTAATGTGAAAAGGAGTCCTCTTTGAAGCTGAAATTAAGGTAGTAGGATAGGATAAGATAAGATAAGGTTGGATAAGGTTTGGATAAGTTAAGGCAATTTGGATAATATTCCTTCTTTGTAGCTGATTCCTTATCTTCCAAGTCTTCAATTTAATTCTTCTAGATGTTAATCACATTCCTAGCCTCTCTTGATCTTCAAATTCGTCCATCCATCTTGCTCCATGCATGTGCAATCCATTCCAAGCCCAAAATTGCTCTAAAATGCTCCAAATTGCACTTTCTTGCCAACCTTGTCAATTGAACCTGAAAACACACGAAAATAGCTTAAAACACTCTAACAAGTACAAATTAGCTATGTAAATGCAAGAAAACAAGCTAACTAAGTCGCATAAATATGCTCCTATCATCTGGATAAAAGGGCAATGTGTGGGACCTAGCATGGACGGGTTGTTTTGTCAAGTAGTGAGAGATAAGATGTGCAACTTGCTATATATGGAAAAGAGGGGAGAATTGTTCTTCTACGATTGCAGTCAGCGTCTTACTAAGACCATCACAGGTCAATGGTCAACTAATCAAATGTCAAACATGACGTGTCAGGGCATGCCTCGTAGGATGTGCCATTCTTTGTAACCGACGGGGGAGATTATTGAGATAAGGGATAGAATTAAACAATAGGGTAAATTGGCTAATTTTTAAAAATTTAGATTTTGAATTTTATCACATAAATCGTTCATAGGGTCCATGTCAACTACGGCGTTAGTTCAGGAATTTTTTTTTTTTTTTAGCAAACTGATATTATCTACACTAATAGATGAGACAGTAGACAAAGCTTCACAATGGATTAGCAATAATGTAGTTCGAATTCGCCTTGGCGATAATCAAACCTAAAACTTCTCACTTAGAAGTAAAGAAAAATACCACTATACCGTAGTACTAAATATGGTAGTTCAGAAAATTAAACGACAGCTTATTCTCCATTTCACATACAGAGTTGTTGATTGTAGCCCAAAATGTCACCTTACTATACAAATTTCTAACACAAAGTAAAAAATATAGGATCTTTAGCTAAAATGATCATGAGATTCTCATAACTCTTCACTTTGGTTCTTGAGACTTAAAACCGATAAAACTAGTCACTGAGTTTGTCTGTCATCAATCATTTTAGTTATTCCGTGAAAAATATTCATTAAATGATGAAAATTTGACAAAAATACTCGCAATTTTTATTTTTGTCAAGTCATTTCGGGCCATTGTTTATGAAATTGAGGGTATTTTTGTCATTTTGATTCTTATTTAACAGAGATTTTTACGGTAAGACCAAAATGATTAATTGTGGACAAACTCAAGGATCATTTCTATCGATTTCAAATGTTAGAAACCAAAGTGAAGAGTTATGCCAATATCATGACCATTTTAGCTAAAACGCCAAAAAAATGTATAAAAAGGAGTGTTGAATGATGATTGGGTAGCGTAAATAACAACTCCATTTTTGTTTAGGACTGTCTTGATTGAAATTATACATTTTGTACAATACACCCTACTTAATATTTTCCTATTAATGTATTTGTATACCATAATACTAAAGTGCAAGGTAGGCACTAAAACCGTTTTTTTTTTTGTTTTTTGAGAAAAAGAAAAAATATTTGAATACAACCCACGGTATTTCTAACGTTAAATAACCTACATCCTAAAATTCTTTTTCTTTAAGTTCTCAATTCGTCTTATTCTTTTTCTTTAAGTTCTCAATTCGTCTTTACTTAGTGCTACAGCCTAGTAATATTCCTCTTCACTTGTAAGTGAGAAGTCGTAGGTTTGATTCTTGCCAAAAGGCGAATTTAAACTACATTATTACCAACCCATTATGAGGTTAAGCCCACCCTCATCCCTTTAGTATAGATAATATCGTTTGTTCAAAATAAAAAAATAAAAAAAGTTATCAATTGCACTTCCACCCTAAACGAGACCGTAACCATGAAGGGCACAATTTTTTACGATGAAGCATGAAATCGCTTGCTTGGAGGCTCCACATGATGTTTGACTTCCTCTTTTTTTTTTTTTTAACGTATTACTAAATGTGAAATCTTAAATCGCGATATAGGTTTATAGTAGGCCTCTACTAAAATTATGAAACATTGAAATGTTGAAACTACCAAATTTTTGGATGGAAATCGAAGCACTCCTTCATTAATTAGTTGAGTTGAGTACAATAAAAATGCATCATCTAATATGTAATTAAAGCACTAATGAATGTCTAGAGTATTAAGAGCAATGATTAGTTTAATAATTAAAAAACCTTTTAAATTCATGATAGGGAGAATGAGAAGAAAACATGACAAGTGGATCCATCACAATCCAATCCAGTGAAGGTACAACTCAACTCCAAAACCCTAAAAAGCAATAACGAAAAGATCAAATAAGTTGGGGCCATTTAGATCTTAGATAATCCAAGTGTTTGGATAATCTCATCTTTAACAAAAATTAAACTAAAAGTTATAAGACAAAACTCACCTTCGTCGAACAGGAACCGAATCCCCTCCATACCTAAAGGAATTGAGCATCCTCATCAAATGATCCAGACCATTGAAATTTGATCTAATAGCTACAAATATGAGTCCTTCTAAAAGTTATAATAATTGTAGTCATTTAATCAAATTTCAATGATCTAGATCATTTGATCTTTGAGCTCATTTCCAATTAAGTCCGGAAAGAATCCGGTTCCCCTCGAACAGACGTTAAAGTGTGAAAGCAAATTGAGGGAGAGGTGGGTCCTCTCTTCCTATTTCCTATTGACTTTGTGGAGCCACTTCCAAAGATAGACATTTGCATATTTTTGTGTCTTAGGGCCGATGAATCTGCCCGCAGTACACCAAGAGAGAAAAATGTCATTTTCAGCTCGTTTACCATTCGTAGCATACCATATGTTACAAGAAAATAATTTCTTATAATGACCAACTTTCATCTTACATCAAATCTTCGTAACGAGTTCAAAAGTATGTTGTCGCATCATGTTGTAATGAAATTGTCAAATGAATCGTGTATATCATATTTGTGCTCTCAAAAGTTAGGGTTAAAGACTAAAACTCTAGACTTAGGTTAGAGTGGAACCACATACTTTTCTATATGTATTTATTACATACTACTCCATAATAATTATATTAATAAACATATATAACCGGCCGAGTTCGAGTTGAGGATGGAAATACCATCAACTGCTACATATCGGACTTTGATTTTTTAAAACAGCCCCGAACACACCCCAAACACATGTACTATATATCCTCCATAGGACCATAACCATTCCATTAGGATTGTGTACCCAAGAACACACAAACCCGTGGTCCGACCAAGCCTGAGAAGCACAACTTACAAAGGTGGACATGAGTCGAAGCTTTGTCACTCAAAGCCTAACCTATCACAACCTGAAATATTGTGACAGGTCTGAAATAGCCTGGCCTAGCACATTTTCGATCTTTACAAGTAGTGAATTATCATAATGTATTAGGCGCACGTAATTTGCTTTTATTTTGGCATGAGAATAAACAATCCTGGCCTCACATTTTTTGACATTGCAAAGCACAACCTCATAAAACGACTTCAAGTAATATCAACGAATTGTCAATACTCTTGGCTACTTTCTTGAGCAACACGCAGATTAAAATCGAAGGAAACACACACAAGAGGTCGAAGAAGCTGCACTCGAGTTTGAATCACCCATCACAGTTTAGATTAGTCTAATGTGAAATAAGAGGATTAGCTACCATTCTTACGTACATGTAAATCTGGTAGTAAAATTCGTGAAGTATGACTTGAATTAAAATTTAAAAATGGCCCTCAATTCGCAATAGGGATGAAAAAGTTGCTCAGTCAAAAGGCGTGGTTAAAGTCAGACTCATTATCACCTCACAATTTATTATCAATTTGCTTGTCAATATTATTAAACATTATACCAAAATACGAGGTGTCAGAGAGTTCTGCATTTGAGAATCTCTTTAACATTCTCATTGTAGAAATGTGCTAGTTGAATTTGCATTTTATCTCGAGCTGTTGTACGTAGTTGTAAAAATGGGTGGTAATTTCCTAGATTCTTAAAAAAATACTGAGAAGGAAGATGAAGGGATAAACTAATCAAAGACCTTCTATTTTAATAGTTACCAAAATAGAAAATTAACAAACAAAAAGTTATTATTAATCATTATTATTATTTTATAAAACTCGAGCCAAGTTGAAAAATGAACGGCCGAATGTTATCAACGTGTCGATTGTCGACATAGCAAAGAGACAAAAAACATGTGTGGAAGCAAAGCGACGGATAAGGATCCTAATGCTTAAGAGGTTGAGTTTCCTGAGTTTAACGAGTTGAGTTTTCTGAGTAAATTATACGAGCTGTTAATTTTTTATTTAAAAGCTATAAACAGAAAATTTCTTTAAAAATTATAATAATTGTAATTATTAGATTAAAAATTAACGATCTATGTGATTTGCTTATAAGACTGAGTCTTCTAGGTTCAGGAGAGAGGATGCTGATCCCAAAGCGACAGGCAACAACAAGTAGCAGTTTGCTGCTGTAAGATGGTGACGTCAGCCCTCTCTCAGGTGATTAATTGAAATCTGGCCCCACAACACAATTTGCACACCAAAGAAATTTCGAAGAAGACGAGGACAACATCGACCTCAACAAAATTAATTAAAAATTCAGCCACTTAAAATACTAAAAATTAATAAATAATAATATTTAAATTCGGAAATATCCATCCAGTTGAAATGTGCATGAACCTTCTCGCCTATTTAAGCCCCTCCCTCTCCCCAAATCCGAGAAGATTATCCAAAATCTCAACGAACAACTCTCTCTCTCTCCTCTCCTTCTGTCTCTACACCTCAACAAAGTTTTCGGTTCAAACCCGGACCCGAAATTTTTGGTTTTACAGCTGCGAAATGTACGGACAGAGTGGAACCGACTCGGATTACGCACTCCTGGACTCGATTCGACGCCACTTACTTGGCGAGACGGATTTCCGAATCGGGAACCCGATGACCAACTCGGGTTCGGGTCCCTTTTTTCTCGGAGTTCCAGCTTCAGTAGCCTGTACCCGTGTTTGACCCAAAATTGGGGCGATTTGCCGCTCAAGGAGGACGATTCCGAGGACATGGTGCTCTATGGAGTTTTGAGGGACGCCGTTAGCGTCGGGTGGGTCCCATCCGGTTCCGCCGACACGCTTCCCTACGATTTTTCGGTAAAATCGGAACCGGAGGTTCTGCCACCAGTGAACAAGGTGCAGGAGAAAAAAGCGGCACCGGTTCAACCGGTTCGGCCGGTTCAGCAGTCGGCTCAAGCCTTTCCAGCTGTGGTGCCAGCCAAGGGGAAGCATTACAGGGGCGTACGGCAACGGCCGTGGGGCAAGTTCGCAGCCGAAATTCGGGACCCGGCTAAGAATGGCGCGAGGGTTTGGCTCGGAACTTTCGAAACGGCTGAGGACGCGGCTCTGGCTTACGACAGAGCCGCTTACAGAATGCGCGGCTCAAGGGCTTTGTTGAATTTCCCGCTTCGGATCAACTCGGGCGAGCCCGACCCAGTGCGGTTGACGTCTAAGCGGTCATCACCCGAACCGTCGTCTTCGTCTTCAGAGAGCGGATCCCCGAAGCGGAGAAAGAAGGCGAACGGCTCGACCCCGGCTCAAGCCGGGCTGGAAATGGGAGCAGGGATTGGGCAGCAGCAAGTGGAAGTCCAAGTGGCGGTGTCGGTTACACGTGGCGAGCAGTTATTGGTTAGCTGAAGATGAGGTGGTGGGGAAAGTGGGGGAAGGGAAAAGCACTAGTAGCTAACCACTACCCAAATTGTGGAGGACACACTGTAATTATCTGAGATATATAAAAAAAAAAAAAAGGAGATGTTTGAGAGATGATAAGAGAGGCTGATCTGATGCTTTTGTGGGTGTTTTATGAATGCAAGATTTTGTTATTGTTTGATGACTCGATTTTTGGAATGGAATGTTTCTCTTTCACAAAAATAAATTGTCACCAAGGTTGCAATTGTAAATTTTGTAGCCCTCATGGAATTCATGAGCAATGTACTAAAAATTTCAAAATAATTTTTTTGTTTCAAGCGATATTCTAATACTTTTAAGTCTGTAAATATATACAATTATGAAATTTCTCGAATCTAGTCATTCTTTAAATTCTGTAAAGAGTATTTACCTGAACAGGATCTCCTAGAAAAGACCTGTTCTACATTTCATTCCACCAATATTGTTATGCAAAAACAATATAAGGCACAAAAGAATCTCTATCTTACCACTTGCTGAAAAACAAGACCAACTTTTGATGAAGAACCATGAAGTTAGACCCATTGGCTCGAATACCATGCTAGGGTAGACACCCTAGCTCTTAAAGCCTCAAACTTAAAGAATAAAAGCAAAAGCCCGAACAATAATCAAACTTCCACTGAACTTGATATGTGTTATTGCTATGGCTCAAGGAACATAGATCTGCATTTGTCGAGCTTCCACTCAAGCTGTTACTAAGGATCATTCACATCGCAAGAAGATAAAGACAAACTTTGCTCAAGTGGCTGAAGATAATACCATGAAGATTTTACATTTTCAAGAGGCATCTACACCTAAAGGCGACTAGATTTTAGACAGGGCCCCACATGTTGGCCGAATTCCCTCCAGTGGCCGAATAAGAGGAAAGACTAATTTTATGTAAGTAGTCACGCATGTGCTTAATATATGCATTAGAGGAGGATTACCAACTGGAATCCTAAAGTGACAGTTTTGAACATCAGTGTGAATATATAAAACATAATTAATTGGGATGTTGAACAGTAACCCAACTTTGAATACTAGCTACTAGCTAGCTAGATCACTTCAATTTTAACCAATTCCGCAAATAAGAACATTTAAATGTACAATTCAAATGCATACCCTCCCCCTTGTTCAAAATAAAAATAAAAAAATGCATACCGTCCCTTTCTCATAAAATTAGAAGGATACAACCACCTCTTGCACTTCTGTTTTTAATCCGTATATTAAATAAAAGCAAACAGATTTTGAAAAAAAAAAAATTAAAAGAAGAAGCAAGTACCGAAATTATATGTGAACAACTCAAATTTGTTGCATAAACTACGAATTCTAGCCTTTGTATTCATTCTCATTATTCACATCTCGTATTTTTGTTTCATTATTCTTATTTGAGATAATAATAAATTAAAAAAAGGTGTCATACAGTGAATATTTCTTTTGGTTTTTTGAGGATAGATGTTTAGAGGATTGAGATCCTCGCCTGATCTCCTTTACGTGGATCCTCGGAATCAATTAATACCCGACCGTTCATACAAGATGTGCGGCCAGAATTGGATTTTAATTTCTTTAACATTTTCACATAAACGAGGCAGTCGACCTCTCCCTCTGTGCTCATCTCTCTGTTTTGTTGAAGGCTTGTACTGGAAAAGGATTTTGGCTTCAAAACTAAGTCCAATTCTAGCCGCACGATCTTGTATCAACTGCCAATATTAGCTGACTCCGCAGGTCAGCACAAAAGAAATCCGGAGAGGTTATCTGTACATATTCAAAGTTAGTAGAGTTGGTCGGGTAATAGAAGAAAAAGGGTGTCACGTCAACCCCGTAAAATTCAAACGCACGAGAGGAGAATAGTGGGGACGAGAAGGGGGGCGCCGCCAAACAGTAGGGTAGAGTTGTACGGTCCATGCAAGCAACGGGCGCTGCATGCGTACCCATGCGGTTTATTGCATCCTTTGACTTTCAAATTTGTTGCTTGCAGTTTATTGCTACGACTATTCTTTCTTCGAATATTATTATATATATTTTTTTTCTTCTTCCAACATTTCAACCATTCAAAGATCTCCAATTTACTCACACGTTTTTATATCTTTAATTAGTCCTCAAGCAAGCAACAAATATCTTCTCTACTTGTTAACAGTGAAGCTCCCAGAAATTTATAATGATGGGGTTGTAAATTATGTTTCCCAAAATTAATCATACTTTCATTTATAGTTGTTCACGTCTACTATTTTGAAAAGGTCGTATCACGACATTGTTTAATATAATCAAATACATATTTCTCAATGTATACAATTATAGCATTTAACCATTGATCTCTCATTCTATTATGATGTGAATTCTTCACAATATTCATCACTAAAGAAACTCTTTTTATGAAGGCAATTGCGACAAATAAAATCAATGCCAATGTCAGTAGCAAGTACACCAAGAGATATTGTCTATCCCTCTTTGCCTCCACCAATTTTTTTGGAGGAAACATTGATAACCTTAGCCAAAAGCCTAATGCCAATTCGTAATTTTTTCTGCAAAAAAAATTGACCTAATAAATTTGTTAAGGTCTCCTTATTTCAATTGCCTTTGTTGGTGTAGGGGCCAAATAGAAAGGGAAGATATGGCGTTCTTGCGAGATAACAGTTGAAGAGTAGACCACGCTTGACCCAGTACCCGGGCAAGGAACCCACATGATTTCTATCGCTGTGACCATCTAAATAAACACTACTCCTTCATTGACTGGACGAAGCCTCTGTGAGGGTGTCGAGATCCGCTACTAAAATAAACAATTCGTTTTCTTTTATTTTATTTTAGTCTTTATTTATTATGAACATTTTGGTATCTGTGACTTGTAATAGTTAAAGCACACTAGTAGCGTTTGCATTTATATTTGTAATAAGTAATTGTGTTTGTTTTGTAACTTTTTTGAGAATTATGACAACTATGTCTTCAAAATCTGAAGTTTTTAAGATAGAGAGGCTAAATACTGTAAGTTATCGAATATGTAAAAGGATGACATGATACAACCATGTACACTACTAAGGATGAGAGGCCTCTTTGGCTTCTCGAGTTTATAATAAATGGGTTGAAGATAATGAACTGACTAAAGCCACAATTCTAAACTATATGGATGTTAAATTCGTAACTGTTTATGAAAAAATCACATGTCTTATTAAGTAACATGTTTTTTCGAGGTAAACCGCTAGATCGACCGTTTATATCATATTCGTTCTTCCAAATGTATCGGTTTGATTCGTAAGCTTCTAGATTTGGTTAACCATTACTACTCATTTTCGTGAGCAACACAGTCTTGTTGCATCGTACCTAACTATTAGTTAGATTTGGTAGTCATAAAATACATCAATTAAATAAAGTAGGTGATTAAATACAAAAGAAACACACAAAGTAGGATTGAAGAAGTAACATCTTGAGTTCGGGTCCGTCTTCTTGCAGTTTAGATTAGTCTAGAATAAAATATCACTTGAGTTAAAATTTAAAAAAAAAAAAAAAAAAAAAAAAAAGAAAAAGCAATACTGCATTTCACAGTAGGGTTGGAGAGGTTGATCGGCCAAATATCATGTATCGTGGATTCTGATAGGGTTGTAGAAATGCATTTGTAGCTTTTGCATTTCGTCTCAAGCCATCGTATGACAAAGTATCAGAGTGCGTGATGAATAAGATGACAAAATAATAAGAATATTAATACATAAACAAGAATGCCGAAACGGCTACAAAACTCAAAGAGACTACATTGTGACTTACTTCTCAAACTAATTACAAGCAATATTTATAGAGAACTAAACTTAAGAAACCCTAACTCGATGAGCTAGGCCCAAAAATCCTAACAAACAAGTAAAACCTAAATACTAATATTTCCCAAAAAGTAGCAGGTATCTATACTTGTATGTAAGGTATTATGCAGTATGCGTTGTAATACTATTTGAGACAAATGGGAGCGAGAGGAAGGAAGATGAAACTGCACTGATCTGAGCGAAGCTTCACCATGAGAAGAAAAATCTCCCTATTTTCATATTTCCATCATGTCTTCTTCTTTCGAAGAGTTCAAATGCAATGTCAGCACTCAACTGAGCAAAAGCTTCACCGCTAAGATAACATATCACAACAACTCCAAAAAAACGCACGTACTGAAAACTTGGCACGTGGCACCTGTGGTCCTCTTTGAGGCTAATCGGGTCACGCGTGAGTGCATGGCAAGAGGCTAATTGTAAATGAAACTAAAACAGGGTGAGCTCCTATAATGTTTGTGGCTTGAGTACCATATACAAAAAATAATTTTAAGCCTATACAAAGTGAGAGCAACAAAATGGCGAAACATTTGAAATACCAAAAAATGTTGTTCATTAAGAGAAAAGACTCTAATTTTTATGTAAGTAGTCACGCAATGTGCTTAATATATGCATTAGAGGAGGATTACCAACTGCAATCCTAAAATGACAGTTTTGAACATCAGTGTGAATATATAAAACATAATTAATTGGAATGTTGAACAGTAACCCAACTTTGAATACTAGCTACTAGCTAGCTAGATCACTTCTATTTTAACCAATTCCGCAAATAAGAACTTTTAAATGTACAATTCAAATGCATACCCTCCCCTTTGTTCAAAAAAAAAAAAAAAAATGCATACCGTCCCTTTCTCAAAAAATTAGAAGGATACAACGACCTCTTGCAGTTCTGTTTTTAATCCGTAAATTAAATAAAAGCAAACAGATTTTGAAAAAATAAAAAAAAGAAGCAACTACAGAAATTATATGCGAACAACTCAAATTCGTTGCATAAACTACGAAATCTAGTCTTCGTATTCATTCTCATTATTCATATCTCGTATTTTTGTTTCATTATTCTTATTTGAGATAATAATAAGGGAGACTTTGGATGCGGTCCTTAGTTATGAATATTCTTTGATTGAAACTTTGTTGGTTTTTAATTTTTTATCGAGGTCCCTGAAATCAATATGATAATTTATTTCTATGTACGTTACTATATTTTTTAAATTAAAAATTAAAAATTTTAGTTGTTTATATAAATGAGATTTTAAATAAAAAAAATCATAATTTGTGGGATTAAAAATATTAAAATATAAATATACTATTGTGTGTGTGTGTGTGACATCCCACATCGCCCAGGGGAGTGATCCTTATGTTTATATTCTCA